GAAAGAGTCAGAGTTCTGACCCCACGACCTTCTAGAACACTGGGTCCATGTGTGTGCCTGTGAGACTGAGGGTGGGGCACAGTGTCGGGGGTGCCTGCCTCACCCTTGTCTCTTGTGGAATGAATAAATAAACAAAATTTTTAAAATGTACCCCAAGGGGCTGGCAGGTGGCATGGTGATTACGGGCACTGGGCCCCACATGGCTGGTCATGGTTTCAGTCTCTCGGACCTGGTGGCTTGCTTTCTCACTTTCTCTCTCTCTCGTCAAACTAGATAATAATAATAATAAAATAAAATAATTCTTTTAAAAAATGCACACTGAGGGACCAACAGTTAGCGTAATGGCTATGTCACTGGACTCCCACGTAGTCGACCGCGGTTCACATCTGGACCCGGTGGCTTAAATCTCATGCCAGGCGTGTGTGCATGTGTGCCCAAGGTCCCAAGAGGAGAATGGAGGAGAAGGGATTGCGGCGAGACCATCCTCCCTGGGGGGTGATTTCTCAATTTCTGTCTCTATTTCTCTCTCTGTCTATCTAGTGCACGGAAACCTCAACAAAAAAAAAAAAAAATGCACACTGAGCCGGCAGGTGGTGTGATGGTTAAGGTGCTGGACTCCCACATAGCCAACCATGGTTCAAGTTTTGGACCTGGTGGCTTCCTTTCTCTCTCTCTCTCTCTCTCTTTCTCTCACTCACTCACTGCCCATCTCTGGTCAAATTTAAATAAATAAAGTTAAATAAAGTAATTCTTAAAAATATAATTAAAAAAAAAAAGCACACAGAACTGACTTGGAAGAAGTACGACAAACAGCTGAAATGGGGCCTGCGGGTGGTAAGATCGGACGATGCTCCTTCCACCTTGCTGAGCTCTGCAATTTGCTGCAGGGAATGCATTACTGTCTGGACTAGCAAAACATAAACAAACAGACCATATCTTTAAACACACACCCTGCCCTCCCTCACACACCCACGAGCAAGAACTGTGCTGTAAAGAGGAATTTCCCCCAGTGAGCTGGCTTTGGGGGCAAGGTTTCATCTCAATTAAAAGATCAATTTTATGGAGTTAGGGGGGACCAGTGGGTGGCCTGGTGGTTGAGGCGCTGGACTCCTGCACAGCTGACAGCAGTTTGAGTCCCACACTTGAAGGCTTGCTTTCTTTCTCTCTCTTTCTGCCCTCTCTGGTGAGCACATGTGGCCTTTAGCATATTTTAAAATAATGATAACAATAAATAATTCTTTAAAAAAAAATTTAGGAGGAACTAACCCCCTCAGAGAATTGGGTATACTCACGCAGAAGCCAACAGCATTTGATCCCAAGAAACAATGTCATCGCAACCACTGGCGACTGGGAGCCCACTCCTGGTCTTGAAATGAGCTGCCCCTGAACCAAGGTCAGGCTGGCAAACGCTACATACAGGCATGTCGGTCAGACCCCTACCTCAGACCCGGACAGAAGGGGGACGCTGATGGCCTGGCCCTGCGTAGCGTGTCCATTCCACGGCTCACTCGCCCTCCCCGCCAGACACCAGCCAAGAGCAAAGAACTCCGTGGGGCCCAAACGCAAGCAGCCCTTGCCCTCAGGGAGCACCGAGTCGGAGGGGGCGCAGAGGGGACGCATATGCAGACACCGGGTCCCCCCCACTATGTGAGGCGACGCAGAGATGGGGGTCACGGGAGGGAAGGAACCTCGTTTTCTCATCTGTGGCTTGGGTGACCCCACAGAGTTCCTCGGGGGGCTGTTTAAGGGACCCCAGGCAGCACTGGCTCCAGGCCTGACTCGCGGTAAGTGCCCGAACTGGGGTGCTGGTGGTGACTATGCAGTCACAAGCCAGCCTGGCCTGGAGATCTGGAATTGGGTGAGGCCGAGGCTGACCTGAGACCTTCCGGGGGTGCCAGGACAGCCCCTGGGCTGGCACCCGTAGATGGAAGCCCAGCGCTGCTGCCAGCTGGCAGGTGCCCCTGTCCTCGGGAGGCTGGGAGGCCGGCCCACTGCCTGCTGGGTCAGCCTGGCTAGGCGTGGGCCTGGCTCCCTGCAGTCACCAACAATGGCTGGTACACCCACAGGAACAGTGACCGCCTGGCAGACCTGGGCTGAGGCTCCCAGAAGCTGGCCACTCCCCGCCGTGGGCTCTGCCTCCTCTGCTTCCTGAGATGGGGAGGAGAAACAGAAACCGCCACCTTTCGCAACCCCGGCAGGTCCCCAGGGCCCTCCCTAAGGCGAGCACCGGCTGGCTTTTCCGGCAGCTGCTACTTCCCCTCCCGCCCCACAACATGGGCCAGCCAGGGTGGGGGCCCCTCTTCGCAGCCTGGGGACCCCAAGCCTGTTTGCTCCCTGACTGGGGTTTATGACGGGTATCCCCTGACGGATGGCTGCCCTTGGACAATTTCAAAGGGGTTTTCACCAAGCTGTCTTTTCTGATGAAAAACACTCCTTCCTGTCCTTCACACACTTTATATATTTTATTTTATTTTTTATTTTTTGAGAGATTTTTGCTATAGGGTATATATATTCACTGGAAAGACAGAGAGACAGAAAGCAAGCACTCACCCCCCAGGGGGATGGTCACACCACAATCACTTCTCCTCC